GCGGGGTGCACGCGAGGCCTGCGGCGGGAGCAGGTGGGGCGCGGCTGCGCCACTGCCGCTCCCCGACTCGCCGTGGGGCGCGGGGGGCCTGCTATTTCCTCTGCTCTCTGCCACCCTGCGTCCGGCCACCGAGCCGATCGCGGTCCGGCTCACGCCGGTGCCGTTCTGGATCTCAGGGGCAACGCTGGGGGGGGATGGGCTCAGGGGGGGGGGGGCCGCATCGACATCCCATCGCCCACTCACTGCCGAGAGGCGCTCGATTTCCAATCGCCCACTCATCGCCGATAAGGGCCTGATGGCCCACCCTGCTAGGGAACAATTGGATTCGCTATTGGGGGCCTATCGCCCACGTATCGGCGACGTATCGTTTATTTCAGATCATAGCTCGGGCCTGACTCGCCTGTTTCAGGTCATAACTTCCCTGGCGTCTTTCGAATCATAACTCGGACCTCTGGCGGCCTTCGGGGAGGATCCTGGATTCCTGGGATGCTCTCGACGAGGCGCAGCCGCTGGAGGGCATCCCGAGGCTGAGAGACCGCCGAGGCCCAACGGAAATATATGAAAATATTAAACCTCGAAACTTCGTCCCCCCCGGGGCGGTGCCCCTCCGCGGGGGTGGGGGGGGGGGAGGACTGGTCTTGGCCCTGCCTAACAATGCCCCTGGTGCTGCAAATTGACATGTTCGGCAGTTCCACACGGTCTCTTACAGCGCCAGCACGCGGAGTATTACGCGGTGCCTCTTGGCCGCCGAGTGGGCCGATGGCGAGAGGTTGCATGGGGGGACCATTGCGTGATATCCGACCCCGAACCAAACCTTCAGGAAGAAAATTATCGGGTCGGGAGGACGGGGTAGGGAGCACCGCGTAGGTTACAGCTGCCTCTTTCACAGTCGTGCCTTGTCTCTTCCCAGCCCCTTCCTCCCAGCGCGACAGTTGTCTTTTCAGGAGTGGAAAAAACACACAGACACAATTAACCGTCGACCCCCAGAAAATATAGGAAAATAGGGGAAGTGGGGGGGAAGACAAAAACTTATAATATATACATATATATATATATATATATAGGAAAAATAGGGGAATCCAATTATTTGTGTGTATTTCTTTGTGTGTGTCCCAGGGCCCCTTTTATCTTTCTCCAACCACCGGGTCGGTTTGGGAGGTCGCCGCGGCGATCGCGATCGCGATCGCAACGAGCGGCGCGCCCCGCCCCCGCCGCGCGCCGCCACGGCCGGGCCCGCCACGGCCGGGCCCGCGGCGGCCGGGCCCTCGGCGCCCGCCGCGCGGCCCGGCCGCGGCGCGGGGGCGCTCGGCGGGCGCGGGGGGCGCTGGCGGCCAGGCCGTGTCGCGGCGATCGCGGGGGGCGCGGTGTGTTCGCCATTGGGTAGAGGAGTCCTGAGGGAAGCGGGTCCTGAGGTTGTTTTCTCCGCTTTCGGGTTCTCAGAGGCACTCCACGGGCTTGGGGACTGTCAGAACACGGTTCAGGATGAAGAGCTGATCCTGGGAGAAGGACCCCGGGTGCAGGAGGCTGTTTCTCTCAGGACCCGCTTCCCCCATGCTAGTTTTTGTCAAGGAGTGGCACGCCCCTTCCCAGCCCCCGCCCCCTCTGCGATGATGACGTGGCCCATTACCAGTAGTACGACAGTGGGTTGGCAGTTTGCCCAACATTCCCGGATAGCTCCTTGGAGAGCTAAGAGGGTTTGAGACAAGAAGCTGGCAGACAGGGCTACGCCAGCTCCTCTCCAAGGCTCCGGGTCAGGCAGCGCCGCAGCGCCTTGCTTGAATTTGCTGCGTGTTCCGGCAAGCGTTGTCCTATTTTTCCTCAGCTCTTTCGAAGCTCTTCGGGCGCGCTTGCGAAGCTCCTTTCTCGAGCTTGCAAGCTCCCCAGGCATGTCTTCCAGCGTCCTTGAAAGCGTTTCCTACAAGCTTTTCACACGCTGTGGACTGCGATGCTATCCGAGTTTTGGGCGCCACAAGTGGGCAGTCATACTTTTCGGGTCAGGGGTCGGTTATTACGCAACCTGGAGATAGTCGACCATTCGATCGCCCGTCTATCATCGATTGGGTTTAGGCTCCCTGCCATGCCCAGGACCGCGCGTCTCGCCGCCATCTGGGGCCTGTCGCCTGCTTCTATCCAGGCCGCTGGATGTTGGGGGAGAGGGATGCACATCATTCAGTTCGTCTTCAGAGATTGAAGCATTGGGTTGGCTTGCGCTCAATTTCGCAAGTGTTCCAATCAGCGTCCTCGTGGTAAGCGCGATGAAGGGTAAGTAACAGGCTGGATCCACCTATCAACACATGAGCCCAAGCACTGTTTAGAGGGAGGCTTGAGTCGTCTTTTGTTGGTCCCGGGGGCCAGGCGAGAGTCCCCAGAGGGCGACAAAGGCCACTACAGGTCGTCGCGTTTTGTCCCGCAGCGCGAGGATGTCAGGGGAGGGGGAGAATGAGGTCCTCGGGGGGGAGTGAGGGCCGCGCGGCAGGAGCTCCGCCCCCAGCGGCCCCTGGAGGCCGGCGGCTACATCCGCCGCCACTCCACGCCGCAGCTGCAGCCACCCTGCGCGGCGGCCAGCTGGGACGCCTTCCCAGGCGAGGTGCGGGCCGGGTGTTGTTTTGAGGTTCTCTTCGAAGAAGCATGGGGCGGGAACAGGAAGCGCACCACTACTACGCTACCGCCTGGGGCGGAGATGCATGCGGGACGCAGGTGTGCATGCTATCCCGCAAGAGCGCCCGAAGCGGCATACACTACCATCACCACTGACCAGCCTCTGCCTCCACCCTCCAAATGTTGTTGGTAGTGATGCGTCTCCTTTCCCCTTAAGGGATGGTCTTAGAGAGTAGACCCGGCGTCTTCAAACAGGATGGTCTCAGCTGGGAGTGTTTCAAGAAAGGATTGCGCAGACCACAAAAAGGATTTTCAGAACATACAATGGTGGGCCTACGGGCAAGCCAAGACGCATCGTCATTACTTTCCTCAGGAAGCAATTAAGACCCCCACTCTCCAGCGAAAGTATAACGCACCCGGCACCCCAGAAGCGTTACCTTGGCACCTCGCACCTTTATGTGAATGCAGACGAGTCTGCTCGCCGAAACAAGCAAACCGCCTGAGACATTCTCGCAATATGGTCATCAACAACACCAACAACACCGCCAACACCAACAATAACAACATTAAGCTCCACGCAAGGGAGATTCCAGCTTTGAAACGGAACCGTCCGTGCCTTCGATGGGGGGCGAATAATTTTGGCGGTGCGGGTGTTAAGATGACGCGCCGTGCGTGGCGGGGGCGATCTCCTCGGATGCACTACCCCACACGACGGCCGTGAAAAAACAAGCTTTCAATAGGGGTGGGAATGAGAATCGTATTGGACAAGGATGACGAAGAAAATGAGAAAAAGGAGGGAGGGAGGAAAAGAGCAGGGGAGCCCGTCTGTTTTCGGATTTGGATTATTTGTATCCTTATTATTATTCGTATTAGTATTATTATTCGTCTTAGTATTTGCATCAGTCGTCTTACTATTGGTCTTATTGTACTTCTTGTCTTACAAGCTGTCGTAATTATTTTGTGCGGGTGAGGTGCTAAGATAACGCACCGTGCGCGGCGGGGGCGATATCCTCGTATGCACTACCCCACACGACGGCCGGGAAAAGACAATTGTTCAACAGGGGTGGTAATACAAACCGTATGGGACAAGGATGATGAAGATAATGGAAATTCGTCTTATTATTATTACTTGCATCGCATTATCATCCTTATCATTATGTTTACTCTTATTCGTATGCATATTATTATTCTTAGTATTCGCATTTCACTCTTACTCTTATTCTCATTCCAATTCCAATTGGGAGGCCACCCGAGCTGGGGCGCGGGAATTATTTGTGCTCGTTACATGTGCGCGGTGCTAATCATATTGTTCTGCGAAAACCGCCTCCCAGAGTATACCTAGACGGAGTATACCTATGACATGTCCATGGTGCGCGTCTGCGCTCGTTGCCAACATTGGAAGGCGGATATCACTTACTGATCCTCCTGTGGTCGTTGTCGTTTGCGTACCATTGAATATGCTAGTATTTCAGATTATGTTGTAACGTTTATCCCGGCTTTGTGGATGCCGAACTTGCTTGGGTGTGGTTCAAGCGCTCTGGCCGCAACTGCGTTGTCTCATTGTGGGGTACGGGAAACACCAGCCGATGTCGAACGCACTCACTTGACGATGGGGCGGTGGCGCGCTCGTTGCGTAATTGCATACACAGGAAGCGCTTCACGTTGTCGGGCTAAGCCGCTTCATGATCGGGCGGTGACAGGTTGAGGGCACGCGTTCCTACATGGGGTCGCATAAAGTGGCGTATCGATTTCGCGATCGGGCCGGATGTCGTTCGATGGGTGAAACATTTGGACGGAGAGCATCGACCGTTAAGTGGGAGCGCTTGAACTTAATTGCACTGGCATAAAGACCCGAAGCACCAACGCTGCTTGATATGGCACGTGGTCGGCTCGGCTCGGCACGGCACGGCACACCCGCCACGCTCACGCTGGGTCACGTCCAAGTCCCCAAGCATCAACGTTCCGAGCCCCTCCAAAGCCCCCCATTCCACGAAGCACGGCGACGCGCCATTAGCCTGCAAGTCTTAGCGTGTGGCGCAGAGGCCGTCGCCGCAGCACGCTAAGTACAAACTCCTCACCTTAGCCCCCTCCCCCCTGCGAGTCCCCGGGGCTGCACGTGGAAAGTTGGCTCGGCGGTCGCACAAGATTTGGTCCGAGAGTGAGCCCACATTTCTTAGGTGGTCCGGTCTCTTAGCCATCGTTTCGGCTGCAGCCAACCAGACCTCCGGGCGTAGCGACAAAAAACATCGGTTCACGTTTTCACGTGGTTCCAGCTCCTGGGACAAGCTATAGGTCGAGGGCAAGAAGTTAAAGAAACACAAGTATTAAAACAACATCATTAAACATTGAGGGCGAACATGGGGAGGGGGAGGGAGGACTGTTATCCCCTGCCTCCTACTCCTCCTTGCTCGCCTTCTTCTCCTCCACCTCCTCCTCCTCCTCCTAATTGTCCTTCTCCCCCTCGTCTCCAAGAGCTTACCCTGGTGAAGGGCCCCACCACATGCGATGTGAGTACCGCAAGGCAGGGGAAGCGAAGCATGGGGGTCTCCCGACGGGGCCACGAAACGTGCGAGGGTTGTGCCGCAATGGGCGGGGAGCTGCATGTGGGCGCACCCACAGGAGGCTGAAGTGCAGCTCCATATACTCCTGCGGACGTACCCACTGGGGGCTTCGGTGGAGCACCCGATGGGGTCTCGAAAGGTGCGGATCGTGGATGATCCCGGAACGGGTAGGGAGCCGCATGTGGACGCATCCGTTGAGGCTTCGGTGAACCTCCTTGTGGGGTCACGAAATGTGTGAGGGGTGTGCCGGAATAGGCGGGGAGCCGCACGTGGACGCACCCATTGGGGTTTTAGGTAGATTTCCTTATGTGGACACGAAGTGTGTGACGGGTGTGCCGACATGGACGGGGAGCCGCATGTGGACGCACCCATTGGGGGGGGGTTAGGTTCTTAGGTAGAGCCCCCCCATGAGGCCATGATCCGTTTGACGGGTGTGTCGAAATGGCTGGGGGATAGTGTGTGCCCCCCCTCCCTTTTCTGGGAGCTTCGGTGGAGCTCCTTGTGAGGCCACGAAGCGTTTGCGGGGCGTGCCGAAATGGGCTGGTGGACGCTATGTGACCCCCTTCCCCCCACCCCCACCGACCCCGAGGGCTTCGGTGAAGATCCTCACGGGGCCACGAATCATATGAGAGGTGTGCCGAAATAGGCTGGGGGACGCCATGAACCCCCTCTGGGGGTTCGGTGGAGCTCCCCATGGAGCCACGAAGCGAGGGGTGCGCCGAAACTGGTCAGGAAACTATTCGCCTCCCTCCGTCCCCGTCGGAGGCTTCGGTGGAGGTCTATGCGGGGCCACGAGATGTGTGAGGAGAGTGCCGAAATGGACTGGTGACCCCTTGAGGCTTCAGTGGAGCTCCCTATAAGGCAACGAAATGTTTGAAAGGTGTGTCGGAATTGACTGGGAGACAGTTAGTATGTGCCCCCCCCTCGCCCCTCGGGGGCTTCGGTGAAGCTCCCTGTGGAGCCACGGAACGTTTGCGGGGTGTGCCGAAATGGGCTTGTGAACGCTCCCCCCCCTCCCCCGAGGGCGTCGGTAGAGCTCCCGATGGGGCCACGAAGCATGTGAGGGGTGTGCCAAAATGGGCTGGGGGCGCTCTGCCCCCGCCCCCCAGGGGGTTCGGTGAAGCTCCCTACGGGGCCACGAAGCGTGTGAGGAGTGTGCCGAAGTTTGCTGGGAAAGCATTCGCCCCACACGAAGCAGTTATGAGTGGTGTTGGCGACATGGACACGCGGAGAGCAGAGGCAGGGATGGGAGGAGAGAGGGGGGAGGAAGGGGCCAGGCGCGGGGCACTGCGGATTCAAAAGGAGGACCCAACACAGGATGGCTGAGAAACAGATACCCCCCGACCCCATACCGTGGTACGTTCTGAGCAGGAGATCGGAGGCAAAGTTGTGACGGCCCCCGAGGAGGCCCCAAAGCGGCGCAATAGCACGGCTAAATCCCTTGTTCTTGCCTCCTGCACTTCCCCCCCTCCTTTTCGTCATCCTCCTCATCTTCCTCCTCCTCCTTCTCCTCATCCTCCTCCTTCTCCTCCTCCTCCTACTGCGGCGACGACGACGACCTCGACCTCGACAGCCTCGACGAGAAAGACGACGACGACGACGACGACGACGACGACGACGACGACGACGACGACGACGACGACGACGACAGCGATCATGCCCTCAGGCGAGCCCCGCAGCCTCGACCACCACGAGGAGGCGCATGCGCGGCCGCCCGCCGCGCGAATCGCTGGATGACCCTGCTCGAGCAGCTGCGCGACGCCGACGGGCTTCGACGACGACGGCGACGAGGACGAGGCGGAGGACGAGGACGACGACAACGAAGACGATGAGGATAGAGGATCTATGGATTTGAGACGTTGCTGGATCTTTATCGGCCTCCTCGGGCGCTCTCGTGGCCGCGTCTGGATTCCCGTCGAGATTCTGTCTGGGACGCATCCCAGGACAGTTCTGGGGGGTCGAGCTGCCCGACGAGGTCGCAGGGAGGAACAGGAGGAGGAGAAGGAGGAGTTGCAGGGACTTGCAGAGGAGGCGAACGGTGGGAGGAGGCTGCGAGGCGGGAGAAGGGGTGGGCGGACCCGGACCGCTGACGTTGTTGTTGTTATGCAACGTGGACTCCCTGGAGGTTCAGACCATTTCCCCGGGACCGGTCTATCATTCCGAGTCGTTGTTGGACGGCCCTGAGGCTCGGGGCCCCCGAAGCCGAAAATGGGTGATTTCTGCAAGACGCGATGGTGTCTGGGGATGGGGGGAGGAGAGGCGGAGGAGGAGCTGCTTCTCTCTCCTCGCCCCAGCAGGGAGCAAAGGCCGCAGGCCTAAGGACCTGAAGTCAGCATCGGGGTTTATGTTGCCAGTTTGGTTTGAATGAGTTGTTTCGAGAGCCACGCTAAGATTTAGGAGCACATTGTATGGCTTTTCGACCATGGTGCAACGTTCGCCCAAGTCGTGGGAGCTTGGGACAAGTATGATTTACTGGCGTTGCCTCATCCTCATCATCATTATCCTCCTCCTAATGGTCCTCCTCCTCCTCCCACCGCTCATGCTCATGGTGCTCATTATCCTCCTCCTCCTCCTCCTCCTCATCCTCCTCCTGTTCCTCCTTCTCGTTGTCTGCCTCCTCCTCCTCCTCCTCCTCCTTCTCTTCCCCCTCCTTGTCTTCCTGCTCCTCCTTCTCGTCTTCTGCCTATTCCTCCTCCTCCTCCTCCTCGCCCTCGCTCTCTCGCTCTCCCTCTCTCTCTCTCTCTCTCTCTTCCTCCTTCATCACGGCTGTGCGGAAGCAGTGCAATTTGTCCTGCTTGTCCTCACCTTCCGCCGACTCCTCCCTACTACCATCATAACCCTTCTCCCCCTAGAGCGCCCTGACCCCCCGATCCGCTTGAAGCCGGCTCGGACCTTTCAAGCAGCCCAGGGTCTTCGAACAACATTACCCCATCCTCTCCTCTCCCCCTCTTCCCAGTAGTTTCTTTGTGCAGCACTTGTTATGTTGTGCAGCACCCGCTTTTCGTGTAAGAACATAGTATATCTAAAAGAACATCACCTCCTCCTTCGTCCTATCGGCGGTGCGCCGAGGGGGTACGGTGAGAGGGAACAGGGCTCCTCGGAAGGTGGCGGAGGTTCTTACAAGCCCTCCGGCCTTCTGAAAAGCCCTCCACGGCTTCGGAGAAGGAGGGGCCTTCTGAACCCTCTGAGTAGGCCTGGCCCCTATGCGCCTTCACTTGGGCGTGCCGCCGAAAAACAACCTCACCTCCGACGTGGGTCCCTGGGAGTCCCTGCCCGTTCCCCTGGACCCGTGCTGCATCCTGACGATCCCGGGGCCAGAGACCTCCCGTCCTGCCAGAGGCCTCCCGTCCTGCAGCGCGTCCAGGACGCGAGCACGTCCGGTTCCTCCTCGTCCCCCGGTGGCCCCCCTCGCCCTCCCTCGAGCCTCGTCTTCCCGCCTCGCCCTTCCTCGCCCTCCTCGCCCTCCCTCGCCCTCCCTCGCCCTCCCTCCCTCGCCCTCCCTCGCCCTCCCTCGCCCTCCCTCGCCCTCCCTCGAGCCCCCGGTGGCCCCCCTCGCCCTCCCTCGAGCCTCGTCCTCCTGGGCGCCCGCGCGCCCGCTCACAGCAGCGCGGGAGAACTGCCCGGCGCCAGCCGCCAGAGCGAGAGGGCGGTCCGCCCGCGGTGGGAAAGAGCAGCGCGCACTCCGAAGGCGCCTGGGGGGGGGGGGAGGGGGAGGGGGAGGGGGGAGGGGGAGGAGGAGGAGCAGAAGGACGAGGAGGAGGAGGAGGGAGGAGGAGGAGGAGGAGGAGGAGGAGGAGGAGAGAGGAGGAGGAGGAGGAGGAGGAGGAGGAGGGAGGGAGGAGGGAGGGAGGGAGGGAGGAGAGGGGAGGGGAGTAGGAGGAGGGAGGGAGGGAGGGAGGGAGGGAGGGGGGAGGGAGGGAGGGAGGGAGTAGGAGGAGGGAGGGAGTAGGAGGAGGGAGGGATAAGAAGAAGAGGGAGGGGGAGGAGGACGGGAAGGAGGAGAGGAAGAAGGAGAGGAAGAGCGAGGTGAGGGTAAGGAGGAGGAGGAGGACCAGGAGGAGGAGGAGCCAGAGGAGGGGGGAGGAGGAGGACGAGGAGGGGGGGAGGCCGATCAATCCGATCCGATATCGATTCAATCCTTCCTATCGGATTCGATTCCGATGCTCCAGCGATCCGCTGCGGCACGATGCTCGTATGGCGTCGTTGTGCGTCCTGGCGCGGCCGATCCGATTCGAATCGATTCTGACCCCGCACCAATGCTGGCGATCCGACGCACATTCAGATCCGACCCGGTTTCCCGAGTCGATAGTGACTGATCTTGCCTCGGCCCACGGCAAGGGACGAGGAGGGTCCGAGATTCGAGCAGGGGCAGGGTGCATGAGGACAAGGCGACCCCATGCACACCCGAAGCGCACTGCACAGAGTTGGAGTTTGGGCGTGACACCGGTAAGGCCAAGGAGCCGCAGCTTCAACACCATTCGTCGTACAAGAACCTGTGTACGCGCGAAGTGTTCGATGGCTCGAGATGCCCCAAAGTATGATCAGACATGATAGTGGCCAGAAGCCTGAACAATGTAGCGTGAAAGAAACGTTCGACGTGGGGATTAACTTGTAAGATTCGTACGCAGCTTTATCATTGGACCTGGTCCGAATAAACATCCAGGAGAAAATAGCCGACTATTCGGATTGAGACCGCGACGTCCAGCCTGGGCTTGCCAAACTCGACGATGGAAGGTGCGATGTCCCAAGGCGGGTGACTACAAGGCCGTGGTGTCTCAGAGTGCCGCGAATGTGGACGTGCCGTGCACGCCGAAGGCCCTGAACGTAAGGGCATAACAATGTTGCTGGTAGTTGAGAGGGGCAGGCCCATCTTCATGACACCGTAAAACGACAGCGCGGGCGGTACGAACGACCTTTCATTGAACGTGATGGCGATGAGGCAAATCGTGACGGATACACAAACTTCCAATGTCTCCGTCACGAGCACTGCGCAGGTGTACAGTAGTCCATTGGCATGCGCTCCGGGCCGCCAAGCCCGAAGTTGGTGCCCTTGCCGACGATAAAGCGCAGCAGCACCAAGACGATCTTCCTGCAAAGCGTCAGGGGGGCCCGCGCAGGGCATTGGCAAGGTCACACGGAGAAGAAGCATAATCCGAATGTGTGATCAGGTCTTCGAGTCCGAGCTGGGTGCAGCTCATGGGGGAAGTTGCACCAGTGTCTGCCGAGCAGCGTGCCTGGCAGCCATTATCTCGGTCCACGGGGCCACGCGAATGGCTACGCGAAGGAGGAGCAGGAAGAGAAGGACAGCGGAGGATCAGAAGGAAGAGGAGGACGGAGGATAAGGAGGAACACGAGAAGGAACGGGGAGGAGGAGAGGAGGGGAGGAATCTGGGAGGGCAGCGGGCAGCAGGAGGAAGAGAAACGCAGAGGAGAAGAAGGGGGATTATGAGCAGCCGAAGATAGCGTGGGGATGGGAGAGGAGAAGACGAGTTACAGCGAAGACGTGCACAAGGAGGAGGGGAAGCAGGAGCCAGATTGCCTTCTCCATCCTCCTCCCCGCCCATCCATTTCCCCCTCCGCAGCTTCTCACTATGCCACACTGCTGGCCACGCTACCAGCTTGCAGCTACCACTATCACTACCAGCGCTTGCGCTTCCCCTGTCACTACCGATATCACCACTACCGCCAGTGTTGTTGCCATTACCTCCTGTGGTGATACGGTCACTACGGTTACGACTCTTGCAAAGATTACGCACGATTACAGCGGCAACGGAGCTCGTGGGCGCCAACATTGATTTCTTATCAAACGCAAGCAAGACACTCGGGATCCCGCACGTCGCAGTCCAGAGGGGCCGTCGATGTTCTTGCCTGGGATTCTTATACGGTTAGGGGCTCGTGCTTAGCGTGTCGCTCCGCCGGTTCTGGCCCACCACGTTTCGGCGCGACACCCTTGCAGGGCATAGCGTATCGCGGGGGCCGCCGCAGCGACACGCTGAGCAAAAGTTCCTGACCGTAGGTTTCACAGAATGCGTTATCGGCCTTAGCGCTGCACCGATTGCGTGGAGGGTCCCGGCGTCTGCTCTGCGGGCCTGCCCGCCCCCGCGACCGCCTCCGCCGCAGCCGCCGCCGCCGCTCGTGCGCAGCTGTCTCGGCTCGACCGGCTTGCGCGCGCTGCCCGCTCCAGATGGACCCCGCGGCCATGCGGGCGTCCCGCGCCCGCGCCCGCGCCCTGCCGGCGCTGCTCACCCTCGCCCTGGCCGCCGCCGCGGGCGCGGACTTGGAGCACCTCCCGCCTTCCTGCTTGGCCTGGCCTCCCCGCCCACCGGGAGCGGCCGTCGCGTGGATGCCTGCGGTGCCCTCGCTGGGCCGCAGCTCCTCTGGCGGGTGGCTCCGCCCGGCCCCCGACGCCTGGCCACAGACCGGCGCCACGCAGACCCTGCCAGGCGCCCCAGCAGCTGCCGCGGGGCGCTGCCTGGAGGACCTGGGCGCGCGCAGAGGCCCGCCCGCGCAGCCGCGCCGCCTCGGTGCGTCACCCCCGCGCGGCCTCGGCGTGGCCTCGGCGCGGCTCGCCCTGGGCCCCGCCGCCCTCCTGGCCGCGCTCGGCGGCCCGGCATGTCCCGCCACGCCGGCGGGCGCGGCGGCGCCCGCGGTCGTGGCCGCGGGCTGGGCTGCCGCGCAGGGGCGGCGCGGGGAGCCCGCGCTCCGGCTGGGCGGGGCCGGGGGTCCTCAGAGGAGGA